CAATTGAGTTGTACAATTATCTTCACTGTCCGGATTAGACAATCATTACAGGCTAAGTCAGTAGAAATTGAACGATAAATCACAACTGCGAAGAGAAGCTGGGAAGGTCATTGCGTAAAGATAGAGCACATCGGTTTCTCTGGGATATGATGTAATTTCGTCTCAACACCATTGGTATCACTTATTTCATTATATGTCCTTTAGGTTCCTAGTGGAACAAACGGCCTCAATAGCACGCCTCCATTGCACTATCCTCTCTGCAGTCTTTTGAACCTGGCTGCACGATTGCCCACAAGCTTTCATTTCTTCCTCACCTGATCTCCTCCATGTCACCCTCGGATGCCCAACTCGTCGTTTCCCGTTTGGATTCCACTTGATGACCTGGTCTGGCGCGTGATCTCCCCAGTCGACCCTCTCAGTGTGGGCCCAATTCATCTCCACTTTCTTCTGCATATTTGTTGAGCGATAGGTTGTTGGTTGGTTTGTTACCAGCCAGAGTTCCTCGTTGCTTTTTCTTTCTGGCCGTCTGGTCTTCAGTATCGAGCCAGCGTAGGTACCTGTTGATGAATGTCTGTAGTTTGTTGAAAATGCTTTTCGTGACACGCCAAGTCTCTGAACCATACAGCAGCACTGACTTGACTTTGGTTTTTAAAATCCGGATCTTGTTCTTTGTGCTGAGTGCAGTAGATCTCCATACTGATTTCAGATTCATGAAAGCCTGTCTCGCTTTTCCGATCCTGGTATTGACATCCTCGTCTGCGCCGCTACCTGTGGTTGAAACAATGCTGCCTAGGTAGGTGGGAGAAACAACTTCCTTTGGATTCCTCCAATCGATGGTGATTGGTGCTTGTTGATGATGCTGTTGTTGGTCGTGTATCTCCATCATCTCTGTCTTCTCAACATTCACCTGAAGTCCCGTCTTCGCTGCTCTGCCTCTTCTGTCAACTTGTTAGTTTTCGCTTGTAGATCTTTGAGTTTGTGTGACTTTAGACATAAGTCATCATCAGCGAAATTTAAATCTTCTAGAGTCTTTCCATCGGTCCAGCCAGCGTATGCCGCTCTTCTCGCTCCTCACTGTTTGTTGCATGATCTAGTTCAGTCCAGTCGACCATAATCAGGAAGACCATGGGCGATAGTAGGCAAACTTGTCTTACTCCTGTCTCCACTTCAAAGGCGTCACTGGGCTTTCCATTGTCAATCACTTGGCATGCAGCGTCCTTATATGTCTAGCTGTTGAATGAGGTTGATAAAGGTTTGTGGCATTGAAACTGTAGTGTTGAGGCAGATGCCAAAGTACTTCCCGGTCGACGCTGTCGAAGACCTTTTCAAAGTCGACGAAGTTGAGATAGAGAGTTAACTGCTATTCTATACTCTGTTCTATGGTGGTGCGTAGTGTCACGATTTGATCCGCACATGATTTGTGCTTCCTGAATCCGGCCTGTTCCGATCATAATTTTGATGATGTGGCGAAACATTTAGCTTGCTTGGGGTGGAAAGCAGCATGATTCCTCACCAGTTCTTGCAAAGACTTAGGTCTCCCTTCTTCGGCAGTTTGACAAGGTGAGCCTTCCTTCCGACCAATTGGCAGGTACCTTTCCTTCCTTCCAAACCTTCGCAATAGTGGTGTGAGCATGTCCGCTGCTGTTGTTTCTGCATCTGTTTTCAGTGTTTCTGGCGGAATTCCATCTGGTCCTACTGCTCTCCCGGATCTATGCAACTTTATAGAGTTCAGGACTTCTGCTTTTGTCGGAGGGCTTGTGTTCACTGGTAGTTCTGCAGTTGCTGGTAGTATTTCTGGACGAGTTGCAGGTGGTGGTCGATTCAAGAGTTTTTTGAAGTGGTCGCCCCATTGTTTCCTTCGTTTCTCTTTTTTGGTAACTAGGTTTCCTTCACTATCTTTCATGGGTTTCGTCTGCGTTGATCTCTTTCTAGATAGTAACCGGGTTATTTGATATAATGCTGTCAGGTCTCTCCTACCTTCAGACTGTTCTGCTTCACTTGCCAATGTGTCGTAGAAGTGTTTTTTGTTTTTCCGCGCACTCTTCTTCACTTCCTTGTCTAGTGTAGTGTTTATAGGTTGTGTTCGGTTCCTCGTTTCGTTGTTTATTCCTGCACTACACTGGTTCATCTCCTGCTTCACCATCTACCTCACCCTCCTCTATCAGCTTCCGTGTGTCCGTCGAGATCCATTCCTTATCTTCTTCCTTCCTAGCACGGTTATACAGGTTTCCTTTCACGTCTCTTCCACAGGGTTTCAGTGTTCTTCCACGCAGGTTTCCTCGGGGATGTTGCTTAATGTTTCCCATTTTGTCCTGATGACTGACTGGCGCGAAGATGTCTTTTGTAGTTTCATCCTTCAGTTTGTGTTCTGGGTGTTGAAAATGAACTGTGATCTATCATCACCAACTTCTTTGAAGGCTTTCAACGTGATTTGGAAGGTTCCTTGCACTAGATAGTGAGTGGTGAGTGTGAACCTACATCTGCTCCTCTTCTTCATCTTGTGTCCAGTAGGCTATCTCCACTTTCTTGAGATTAAGATAAAGTCGATCTGATTTTTAGTGTGTCGGGTGTCTGGTTAAATCCATGTCGCTTTGTAAATATCTTTATGTTTGTACACACTGCCTGACTCCAATCACCAAATCGTTGAATGCACAGAATTCTGCAAACAGTTCTCCATTCGTATTCATCATTTCACCGAGTGTCTCTCGATCCATGATTGGCTCTCTTCCTGTGTTGTCTGCTCCCAGTTTGGCATTCATGTCACCCATTAAAAATTTGATGTCACCAACTGGGGTGGGGTCTTATCCAGTACTGATTGCAGTTGTCTATAGAATTCCTCCTTCTTCTCTTCATCTGCATTATTTGTAGGTGCATAGCGTAGCATTGTATGGCTGTAACTTTCCTTCCTTTTGATTTGAATCTTGCTGTCATGATCCTGGAGGAGATTGGTTCCTACTGCACGAGAGAGAGCCTTCGTTACTGCTGGGAACATCATGGTAGCCACTCCATAACTCAGTGTGCTCGTGGTTGTCGTGTGGGCGAGAATATCGGAGTAGATTATTGACTCCCCAGTTAAGAGTTTGGAGAGTCTACTTCCATTCCATCTGCTTTCGCAGATTCCTAGCACTTTTATGCTATATCTTCTCATTTGTTTTGCCATCTGGACAACCTTGCTAGGTTCAAACATAGTGCGGACACTTCATGTTTGCATACTTACCTTCGCTTTCATCGAGAGAGAGAGAAGACACATCGGCTAATTGGTTTTCCGAAGGCTTTCACCAACTGGCATCATTTCGTCTCTCGAATTCCAGCGAGGAATAAGTTTGTTTTTATTTTTTATATTTTCTTTGTGCTTTGAAGTTTGTTTAGCGATTGGATTGGTTTTCTGGGGTGGGGTTGCTAGTCCTATGCCTAACCTTCCCTCTTTACCCGGGCTTAAGACCGGCTAGTAAACTGATGAACTAGTAAACCAGGCGAGGTACCATGGTAAGTGTTAATGTGTAGTACTGAGCTACCTCTTTGGATTTAGTCCCGACACTTTCAGATGCATAAATATTGTCTGTTTGCGTTTCTTATACATCTCTCTTGAAGGGATAATCATGTGTTGGCAATCCCTGCTTCCTTCAACTCTTCATTTTTTAGGTAGATGTCTTAACAGTGAAGTTCCTTTTCGTCTTCTGTCAACCATTTTCCGATTCAGTGAGCTTGAAGATCTCAGTTGTTAACTGCACTGTCTTTCTGGAAAGGGTTTCTCAAGGTATATTTCTGGAGCTTCTTCAAGTTAACCATTTGTAAATAAAACCCAATTTTGACTGCAGTGAAGTCTATCTAGATGGCTGCCAATGTTCTTGGTTCACTGCTACGTAAGAAGTCAACTTTTTTGCTAGTGTAGTAGATGACAACGTCATTGGTGGAGATACTCCCATCTCATTTCACTTGTAAGCTGTCGAATTCTTTTTGATGACCGAGCGTGTCTTACTGACCTTCACATATGTTTTGGGTGGCTCACTTCTGGAGCCTGTAGTGACATTCATTTATTCTGTTGTCACTATGTTTTTACTCGTAGCACCAGCACAGAAGCAGGTATTTTTGGATAGGATATAGCGAATGTCCAGATGTCTTTGTTTCGTTGCTCTAGTAATCGCTGTAGGATTTCCTTGCTAATGCTATAAAGAACTGTTTATTTTCTGACTGATATTTGTGTCTTGTAAGCTGATACTCTCAGTATTAAAATATTAAGCAGCAACGTTCGCAAAGCAGTGGAGTGCACAGATGGGAGCGTCTTACTTGACATATACGTAGTAGAAAATCACTGCTTGGAAAAGAGTGTAACTTAAGCACCAGCTAACTCTTAGTAGCCATGGAAGCATACTGACCTCGTCATCTTTACATTATTAACTGGCTTTCCCTTTATGTGTTTCATTTTTTGCTAGCATAATATGTAAATTGACTGGGACGAGAAATTAGTAAACTACATCTTTGATTATCTGCTTACAGCAATAGTGATTTGTGAGCACTAGTGTTACTAACCGCAGTCAATTTGAATTCACAGATAAATTTATGTTTTTTACCCGGTTACCTATTCAGGATCCTAAAGCGGCTAATATGGTCATATATTTTGAAATCATTATAGTTCAACTATTGGTGCCAAACTTATGCCACTTTTAACAGTGTGTAACGGAACGAGCACTGTCTCCGCTTTAGGATATTTGTGTCAGTACTAACAAGAAATGTGACCCGTTGCCTACCAAATATGCATCATTATATTGATATGCACGGCGAAAAGTTGTTAAGTTTGGTTGTAGCCTGAAGTATTCAGAATGACTTGTTATTTAAAATTTTCTTTGATAGTAAATGATTTGGGGGCGGACTTTTTATGTGTCTTACCCTAGGAACCTTCAAAAATTTCTACTCACAAACAATAATCGATTTGGTTGGCTTGCGTATCATTTTCTACGAATCTTCAAGAATATCTTTTCACAGATCACAATTCACAACATCCGACTTGTATTTTCGCGTCGGTACAATTTTTAGCAAGTCTAACTGATGTGCTTTCATGCAAGGTTCCACGTTGATTTATTTGTTTTCTACCTGTATGTCCATCCGCATGTCTCCACTTCACTTTGACGACTTGAATATTATCTTTTATACGTTGTACATGCAACTAAAGGGATTTGGACTGATATTGCATTATTTCTGCGGTTGTTTGAAACATTGTGTGTATTTTAGAAAAAGAAAATAATTTCCGACATATGATTATTATTGTGAAATGGATTATATTTGACAGGCTTTTGAAATATTTTGCTGAACTTTGGGCCCAAAGCGACAGTTATTAACTCGGTTGTAGTACCAGCTGAATTGACGTCTAGCGACTTGCACTTTAAAACGTCATTTTAATAGGGTTATTGAATTCAGTTTAGCCCATCAATAAGCATCTGAGTTACTTACATTCATATTCATTTTGCAGATATCATTTCTTTCTTCAAAGTATAGCCATAGGACTTTAACATATAATATCATTAATGTTTCTACTGCGAAGGTAAGCATTTTCTAAACATTTTCTAAATAAATAGACTGTCACATTTTTTACTATATATTGCTACATTTGACTTGAACTATCATTATAACACAATGATTTTTGTAGTGATAAAAATTAAATTTTGTTTTACTGTAGTCGGACATAGGTCAACACTTTCTACGTGCTGCACGTGCTGGTAATATTCAAAAGGTTTTATTACTTCTCAATGAACACAATGCAGATGTACATGGATGTAATGCAGTAAGTTAAAAAGATAATAATGAAAGCGTTTTCCAAAGTTACCTCATTCGTACATTATTTTATCGATCACTTAACCTTTTTTAAACATTTAGAAAAGTCTTAGTTATTTAGTCATTCAGCGTAGGGATGGGTTTAATATCTATTGTTCACTATCTCATTAATTTGGCTATCAAACGAAATTTTCAGTTAGACTTTCATCACCACGATCACCACTTCCATCTGAGCAGTCGAAACGATATAGCTCTCATAGTTCATGTTAATAACTTTGTAATTGTTCCTGTGTTAACTCTGAAAGGTTCCAAACATTTATGTTGAATACAAGTTTATTGCAAAACTATTTATTGAAAGTAGATAGAGTTGAGATGTCTTCTGCTTAGGCATGTTCGTAGTATGGATTTTAGACAAATAGATATAAACCAAGTGATTTTGGCAACAAATTACATACATGTATTCAGATTGCAAACTTCACATCACCACAGAGAAACGGATTAAAAAGGATGGAAGAGTGATTGATCGAAAACTTGACATATCAACAGTTAATAAAATTAAAAAGCAAATAAAGTAATACAAGTACAATTGCATGCAGATGACAATAATAAAAGTTTATTTGCGGATTATGTAAATCTTCAAAATCCTATCAGACCAGAAGTTAGAAACTTCATGAAATAATACCATTTCTTAATCATAATACTTTTACTTTTCTGTAAGTCCGATCCTCCACTCCAACTAACATAGTATCCCGAGAAATACAGATGGTGATTTGATATGTGTTAAACGCATTTCAGTCGTCTCATCAACCGATTCAGCCTCTTTACATAATAATTTATAACTAACTCTTGAATTGTTGATACAATGGTTTCATCGTAAACAGGAAATTGTTAGTGGGCAACGAACTGCAAAAATCAACTGAATGCGATTCCCTTAGTACCTTCAATTGATTTAGATGATTCTACTTTCATATCAAACTTTATTTAATAAATATAGCATAATTGTTAAGTGGAATAAGCAGATTATTTGCTTACATTATTGTTGGTGATTTTGACTACAGGATATCAGTTTCAGACCTCAACGGTATCATTACCATGTGACAGGTTTTAGAAAGAGGCAAAGTTGACCGCCTGACACACCATATTCTTTGACCTTAAGTAGGCAATCAACTGTGTCAGACAAAAAGTTTTGTGACAGTGTCTGACTGTGAAAGGAGTACAGAGCGAGTTTGTAGTGTTGATCAAGGTTGTTCACTTGAACTTATACGTAAAGTAACTATAACTTATGGAGAGCTGTTATTTGAATTAACGACAACCATTGGTGCCCACCAAGGACGTTCACTGTTATCATTTTCCCTAAATCTTGCTGCATATATACTGATGTATCTTATCCACGAGATGATAGGAATGAGTGGTTGAAAAGTGTTGGTGATATAGCTCAAAACAGATGGCCGAGATGCACACACATCCAGACTTTGAACATCATCATACATCTGAATTTGTTAATTCCCTCTCCTCGCACACATTATCGCCTACTTAAACACCATTCTCCTTCTATTCATTTGCTGTTTGGATATTGTTGTGAAGTGTAACAAATTGAAATGATGTTTCTGCTTAGAAGCTTCAGAGTTGGTTTTTCTGTCTGTCTGCATACCGCGAAATTTGCATCTTATCGCATCTTAGAAGTTCACTGCAATATACTGTAAAATGAATTATATATAAATAGTTCACTTTTATGTAAATGGTCAAGCTAAAAGTTTATGTTCATCGATAATATCAGTTATTATTAACCATGTAACTGAACATTTTTAGTACTCACCACCTTCATAGGTTTCTGTATGTTCGACATTCTTGGAATACGTAGGTGAAATTGGTAAACATTCAGTTCATGATGAATACCACTTTGAAATCAATCGCCACACACTTCCACACTGAATTACTGTCAAGTGGTCATTAGTGACAATTTTTGAGAATAATTTCCTGAAGTTCTAATGTGAAGCCGTGATTTACGGGGTCAACCAAGGCGTAGGTGTATGGCAAATAAATACCTCATAATTGTCAGCATTCATCAGTGAAGTTATCGTCTATGTCATGTCACTGAGGATTGTCAATTGTTAGTACCTAATATCGGAACACTCTTGTTAAATAGCGTTCACTTGCCGTGCATATCAGATATCGACATCTGGAGACTTCATGATTTGGTAACACATATTTATTCACGTTCTATAGGCTGTTTTACGGTTTTATACCACATACAAAGTCATACATGCCTAGTCAAATTTGTTTGCATGCTCAACGAGTTTGCTGATAAATTCCTACTGAACAAATTAGTGTAAGCAACAGAAGAAGTGAGCTATGAAAGAGAACAGATGATCAACAAGAAAAACAGCACTTCAACTTTTGTGACTTTCTTTTACGCACGTTTATTCTTGTCCTTCGTCTATTGATCGTTTGATTTGCTTTGTGTGTATATGAAGAGTGACTTCTCTGTAAAAGCTACTAAACATATGCATGTATGATGTGTGTGCACTTTTTCTGGTTTTCATTGTTGCTTAAATCTTTCTTACAACAAATGCTTGGCGATAAAATGAAACTGAATTCATGATGTTTTTTGGAAGTGGAGTTTGCATGCAACACCCCCATTTGATCGAAAAGATGATGATGATGCATCTTTGCATTTAGTTCTCGGCATACCATATACACTATTAAGCTAATTAAACCCCGTTATTATGGTTGTGTTTGTCCTGTGCTTTTCAAGAAGAAACCGTTCCTCTGGTTATTCTAGGAGAAATTGTATTAACTCATTATGGTAGTCTACACATTAAACCTCTAACCAGTGTGTCACGAGTTCGAACGTCGCTCCATCTATCGAGGTTTGAACAGGCAGGTAGTATAACTAACCCTCACACAGCAGTTGTGACTCAATGCCTACTTAATGCACGTGTAGGTGATTGTGTTAAGTGTATTTTGATTTCCAAATGCATTTAGACATTAGAGATAGTTGCACTGTTTCTAGGGCTGAGTGATCTGTATCAGTGCTCTCTTGCTTTTGCGCTTTCATAAACATATCAGTCAAATAACGACAAATTAAGTGGATGGAATAACAGTCAGTTGCGTCTAAGTGACATTTTTAAAAATAATACGTTTATCGAGTTGTTGACACTTGATTCTCACTGTCTTGGACCATATTCGCAAAATTTCTCATGTTTAAAAACTCCATTTAATAATTTCCTAGTGAGTTTTTCAACAGCAGTCTGCTTGCCATCAGGTCTGACTGTCTTAACTCTATCGCATACTTAATGAATACAGTTATTTTGTTCATCTAGTTATTCAAGTGTTAACCGTTTGATCAGAAGTTCGACTAACATTCTGGTTTCTTCTATTTCGCCAGCTGACTAGTGTGAGATCCCCTTAGAAAATAGGTGTATTTTACAATGTATTACACACGTCTCGGTATGGTCCATTGGGTTGTACTGCTTTGTGAAGGTTTCATGACTGCAGTCCGGGGTTGAGCACAGCTGATATATAATGTTTTTGATATCACTTTGTGGTGTGAGCCACTTACACATTAACAAATCACTCAGCATATAAGTTGATGTTATTCTGACAAATGTCTGTGATTATCCTGATTTCGCTTTGTTGGTTAACATTTACTCAGATGGTAATATACGCGTGTATGCTTTACGATACCATTCAGTCATGTAACTTGTCCCTGGTTGTATATATAGATAACCTGAGAAGTTGGTAAACAGTAAACCATTGTTTCATATTGTAATCATTGAACAGTATTACTTCCAAGTTGTCATCAATGGTTGGAGGGTGAGTAAAATGGAATCACAAATTCTACCTCATAAATGAATAGATGGTCATATTTAATTCAATAAATTGTTTCTATTCCGTTAATTCCTTTTCTTTTCAAATAAAATTTATTCAGTTTCAACTTTGTCGTTGGAAAAAATAACTTTCATATTTTAAAACTTTCCAACTTTAGAACGGCTTAAATGCTCTACACTTAGCATCAAAAGAAGGGCATGCAACTGTGGTACGTGAACTTATTGATCGTGGAGCAAAACCGAACACTGCTACAAGAAAAGGCAATACAGCCTTGCATATTGCAAGTTTAGCTGGTCAATTTGAAGTGGTCAAATTACTATTAGAAGCTGGAGCTGACGTAAATGTTCAGGCTCAGGTTGGTTAATCTACAAAGATGTATTTTTGAATATAATCCAGCGTGTTTAGAAAACCAAAACGAGATATTTCTGAACGTTTCGGTGTGTATACCACAGTTTGCTGAGCAGTATATACGAATTTTTATTTACACCAAGATATATAGTCCAATAGTACATCAAATAGTTAGTGTGTGTAGGTCATTGATTAGATGCAGTATATTTGTTTTTATATCATACCTTCGTTGATTGGACCGAATTGATCGGTCTCTATTGGCATATGGGCTCCTGTGCGGATGCCTCTATATTGCCTGTGTTTTAATTATATTAATGATGGATAGTGGCTAGCAGTGGAATCCAGGATGGGCATTTCGTCCTATTTGGGACTTGTCAGCTGGATGTACCTGCTAAAACTATACTCGTCGCACAAGAGGTGGCTATCGTGGCTCGGTGGTGTAGTGGATAACGCCCTGGCGTTTGAAGCCATCGCCCCCGAGTCCGAGTCCCAGTGGGAACAACATCACTCACTGGGAAGCAGGTATATCCAGCTGACGAGTCCCAAATAGGACGAAATGCGCATCCTGGATTCCACTGCTAGCCACGATCCATCATCAACATATTGGTTAGGTGGTTTGTCGTCCAGACTGAGAAATTATGATTAATCATCACAAGTTCATATTTCTTATTGTTATTTATCAATGCGAAATGTGTATAAGCCGTATAAATTGGTTCAATTTTCGATTTTTACTATCCTGCCTTTTAAAATAAAAATATTTGAAATACATTTCTTCGTTGATTTTCCAACTGTATAAATATCGTTAAAAATTTTATTTATTTATTCAACACTTTTATTCTCTAACCATCATCATGAAATTTTCGGTTACAAAACACCCTGATATTTTTACTAAATTACTGATCATTTCCCCTCCAAAAGTATGCATGACAATTGGGTTAAAGTAGATTCGAGGAAAAAATAATTAAAAGAATTGATTCATTCACTTATAAATTTCAAGTTGTAATCAGAGTTTCTATATCTTGTTCTAAAGCAGTTGTCATGGCAATTATATGTCAATTTTAATATGGTTTTAATCGTGAACATGTATCAGGTAGGGACACATTAATAACCGGGATGCATTGGCCAACTGTTTCACTTCATTGTGAACCTTGTCATCAGTAATCCAGACAAGGCAAGCCCGTGTGGTAACTAAATTTAATTTGAGTTTTGTGGGGGTTTTATTTTTAAGGTACTATTCATGCCGGACTGAAATCAATCGGAGAGCAATCGAAAGTATGGGAATAAGCACCCATGACCCCACCAGAGACCGAACTCAAGACCTTCAGGTTTTATCTAGGACGCTTTCGCCACTTAGCCACTGCCGATGACTCATATACAGGGACGAAACAGTTGTCCAGTGCTCCCAGGTTTTCAGTGGTTCTCCGATTGATATGTGTCGGTGTTGAATACTATCTTAAAAGTAATTAAATTCCTAACTTATACTGTTCAACAAGAATGTTTTGTTGCACTGTTTACGTGATACTTAACTGGTAAGCAGATGTCTCATTGAAGTTATTTGAAACGAAGTCCGTTACGTCAACAAAACTTTATATCCGTGTTAGGATTGTGTCACATGGATTCGATTATTAAGACTAGCTGATAAAGCTAGTTAGGTTGATTAGATAATGGAAACTAGTTCATACCATCTGATTAATGGAAGCGTGCTTGATGTATCCATTTTCATTTTGTAAGCGTGTATAATACGTGTCTTGATCTACTTTAATCTGTTACAACTTCATCTTTTCCAATATCTGAATTGTTCATATAATTGTAAAGTGTAAGTTAGGCTAGAGACACCTTTCTTCTTTTTCTGTCTATTCCAGTATTAGATTCTGTCTATAAGATTTTCTTCTACCAATAAATCTGGTAAGTATTAATTGGAACAAAAACAATTGCTGCCGAGATATTCTATCCACTTCTTATTCATGTACAGTTACATTTTTCGGCTAGCTCATCAATCTTATGAAATGTAGACATACAAAAGCACGCATACACATGAATGGACTTCTAGACAACGTTTTAATTTAACTGTGTGGCTTCTGTGTTTACACACACACACACACACACACACACACACACACACACACACACACACAGGTCACTTGACTATAATCCTACTTAATAGGAATTTGTATTGAATTTGAGTAACTGTCTTTGGAGTCACAGTTAGTCAGCTATATCAATTCCAGAATAATATGAGAGATTATTAATCCTTTTATTAAACTTTATGAACTTATTTCATAAAGTTTCAATTTGGTCGCCCTAAGCCTTCTTTCAACCTAATATTGAGGAGAAAGTGAAGTGAAGTAGTTCGTTGCATTAATGATCAGAAGTTTGCCCTGTTAGATGGTTAACAGTCAATTAACATTGAATTACGCATATGAAGGGGAAGGATCGTTTACATTCATATAGCGTATGAATTTTACAGCAACAAATTTTCACCATTTTATTACATCCCCTTTTTAGAGTGTTTCATTGGTTGTAGCTGCTGAACAATCTGGTTGACAACAAAGTGTTCTTCATGTCGTTTCCGCATCAGTTAAATAATCTTTGAAAGTCAAAGAATACACGATAGATGATCTGGTTTTTAGCTCATTAGCTTTCAACTTGTGCTCCATTCTGCCCTATCTACTGACGTTTGCATTATTAAGCAATATCACTTGTTATTTGTACTCTGGGTATTTCTCATGAACTGGTACAGAAATCAATACTTCGATCTTGAGTTGTACACTCATAGATATTCTTTGCACCCTACCTTTCTATCTGAGCCTCATGGTCGTTAAGCTACGCTTTAATTCTCTCAGCCTATAAAATAATGGTTGTTGATGCGACTGTTTGAGATAGTCTTGCTTTATCAAACTAACAGTATTGATACGGGATGTTGATTCGAGGTGAAATGAAAACCTTTGGCATGGCAGAAGTCTAACCAGCAGTGTCTGAGTTGTCTACACGGAGCTACAAGACCCAGTTTCTGACCGTGTCTTAACTTCCGTTTAATCACTAAGGCTTCCACTTAGCTGTCAAGGTGTTCACTACACTTCAGATCATCACCCAGTATCAATGATATCAATCTATCAAACCATGGCTGTCAGACAGTCTTATTAACAGCTACTAATCAGTTACTTCTTCCTAATGCACACATTATTGAGGCCAATTTGGATTTTGTTAAAAATACTTTTTTTTGGCGGTCAATGTGATAAAATGAAGTTGGTCCGTTCTATCTAGATTCCAACATAACTTGGGAGACTAATTAAATCGTTGGGCTGAAAATGATGGATCCAGCTGCAACCTGTTGCTTCTTGTAGACTTGATCATCATTCTTTTTAGTGACAAACAAAATTACTTTAGAGGTCTATGGGTAATTGACCAATTTCGGAGTGGTTTTAGTCAATAACTGATATCGGAACTAGGGAACTTCTAAAAAGCCAGTGAGCCCTCTACACCCACTTCATCCTAGTTCTGAACTCAGCAGCACTGTGCACCCATAACGTCACACAGTATTTGTTTTTATTAACTGCATACAGTTTCCCGCCTTTCACCAACTTTTATCCCTATGATTCTCCTGTTTCTATTAGACTTTCAAAGGTGTCCTCATCCTCGTGCTCTTATGTTTTTCCGCTGCTTATTTATGTTGCTATTTTCATCACTTTTGATGTATTTGTCATTATTACACATAACTTATTCATATGTCATTTCACTCTGTATCATTTTTCTGATAATTATTTATTCACTTTTGTAAAAGTATACTTTTTTGTTGATTCAAGAATGTCCCTTCTCTTGAGACATGAATAGTCGAAAGTACTGGCTCATATTTTAGTATGTAACTTTCGTCATCTTGTAAATTATATACTTTACATTCTAATGCTTTTTCTCATAATTAATCAAACAAATTTTACAAACAACATATATATGTAAAACATGTTTTATTGACGAAATCGGATGGAATAAATTTCTATTATTCAACAAAATGTGTTTAGATCCCACTGTTCAAATTACTTTGCAGGTATATCGAATAATATCTTTTCTGCACCACCAAGTGTTACTCCACCTATGTCCGGCAGACTTGATGACCTAAATGTGTGATCATAGAAATGTGGTCTTAGTGTGATTGGAGTAATTATTTGTGTATTTTGTTCGTTAAACGACTATTTCACCAAAAACAAGATTGCATATACTTGGACTGTAATTTCTTTGTTGATTGAAAAGATTACCATGAGCCCGTGATGTATATGACTGTTACTGTAAAATAACGTAGCGAGGTGTTCTCTGGCCTCCTAGGGTCAGGAATCAACGGTTGGAGATTCTCAGTGATATTGTTCAAAATACACCACAATGAATTGGATGCATTTTACTATTTATCCTCTTTGGAATTGTGAATGACCTACATTTATTCACTTTCCATCCTATCATGAATCGTTTTCGCCCTTTTAATAATCAATCCTTTCACTAGAAAAACAAGCTCCAAAGTCTCCCTCTCATTTCGTAAATATTTATCTTCCTAGTAAACTGTTTTAGGTGGGGAGAAAGACAGGAGAATTCCAGTTTGGATTTTTTTTTCCATAGAAAAGAAAGTTATGTATCAAGTAAAGTAAAGCGTACGGTATTTGTTCCACGTTTCAATTGTATTGGTGTTTTAAACTGTCTTATTAATGGATGATTATCAAGTCACCTACATTTTATTAGGTTCTGCAGAGAAATTATTCTTTATTTTACAACCCTATATTTCACAGTAGCTTTTATTATTCAACTTTCTTTCACTTCATTTCAGAATGGTTTTACTCCTCTATATATGGCTGCTCAAGAGAATCACTTGGAAGTGGTGCGTCTTCTTTTAGCCAATGGTGCTAATCCCGGTCTGACAACTGATGATGGTTTCACTCCACTTGCTGTAGCTTTGCAACAAGGTCATGATCGTGTTGTTGCACTTTTATTGGAAAGTGATTCTCGTGGTAAAATATGTCTGCCAGCCTTACATATTGCATCAAAAAAGGATGATATTAAAGCAGCTAATTTATTACTGAACAGTGATGTGAATGTAGACCACCAGTCAGCCGTAAGGATTTTTCTGTTTTCATTCAACTTTAATCACACCATTTTAGTCTGTTTCACTTTGTGACATTTCTAATAAACGGAATAAAATGGAATTACAATCTACCACTGCCCAAGTTTTACTCCTATATTAATCATGTCATACTGCTTTTCTGTTACCTTGTTCTTTGACACTACTAACTGTGGAAATAAGTAGCAAGTACAGTTTCTACTTCTGAAGGGTTTGGATTGCTGAAATTCGCTGTACTTTTGTTTTCTATGCCCCGGTTTTGATACTCCAATGAGGCTTTTTGTTACGTGTCAGCCCTGTGACGTGTTTCTTGTTTCGTGCTGGATGCAGAAGCATTAGATGTCGTAAGTATGCTTTTAGGTTGTAAAATGGCTTCCTGGCGAACATCACCTGATGTGATCACTATTTGACGAAGATAGTGAGGTATCCAGGATAAACATGAACTAGTGAACATTTATATTGAGGTGATATCGTCTAATACAGCCTGAATTCCTACGTTTAGTCTGAAAGAACACATTGGCTTGTGTTTTTGCACTTTACTAGATATGCCTTAGAAATCAACGAAAACTTTATTGATCTTCCTATAAGGTAGTGAGTGAATGATGTAAGTTGCATTTATACAAGAAGTTAAGGTTTCTTCTAGGTTGGTTTTACTGCTGAGTGACAAGAAACCTGCGACCCAATGTTTACACATTAGTTCTAAGCTGTTAACACAAACGTTGTCTACATGTTGTTCATAATTGTGTTTTGGTTGGGGTGTTTGTGTGGGCTGATTGATCTCAAAGTAGATTTTTTTTGTAAACTCACATCATTTGGAGAAGCGTTGAAAGCCTGGGATTACTGGATATCTGTTTTGTTCAGGCTCGGGACTCCTCGTTTAGGTAGGATCCCCATAACCCCTGCGAACTATCCAGCTTAGAATGGTCAGGCCTCACGATGACCATGCTTTCATACAGCGACTAGGTTCAAACTTAACGATTGTCATTCTCCGATTTGTATGGGTTCACTGTATGCCGCAGTCATCATTCACTGTTATCGGTGAACATCCATTTTCATACTTGACCCAGTAACTCTATGCATTTCAAATAGTTAACTCGTTTAAGAAGTCATGAAAATTGTTTTGTGGTATGGAGATTGAAGCTGCATCATATCCGTAGGCAGCAAGTCACATGCAAGGAGTCTGATTTGGGACAGGCTATTTCTGTTTCTATGTAAGTAGCACAAAACAATCAATCTTTTGCCTACCAATATTTTGACTATTCCTTACATTATTTGACATTAACATGGTATCACTTTATATTTCCCTTTTTCATCCTTTATCCTTCTTCTTGCAGATTAGCTTTTATATTCTGCTGATTTTTCAAGCATTCCATCATTGAATAGAACTAGTAGATTGAGATGCTAGACTAGATCTTCAATGATGAGGCTGTAACTCATCGGTCTGGGCACTTGATTACCAACGGATTGGTCATGGCTTCAAACCCAGCTCTATTTATGGAGGTTAGGATAGCCAATTAGCATCATTAGCCCCGACACAATAGGTGTGGCTCATTGACTACTGTGCAAATATGCACAAAGCTACTGACAAGGTTTCGACTTTTTGAGATACTTAGTGCTTATAAAGCAATTTTGTTCAACGTTTATGTTCGAAGAAACCAAACTCAGTTTCTAATGGTGACTGATACAGTCAAATGAATCAGGAACTGAATTCAACTTCTTATGCAACCTGATATCATTCCTTTCCTTCCCTTTGTACTTTGCACTTCTTCTAGTTCATCCTTTTGCTTAGATAAGCAGATGTTTTCTCTTCTTAGTTGCTACTTACTTACTCTATGCATGCTACTGCTTTTAAGCTAGCCGTATTGGCAATCATTCTATTTAGCATAACAAAAGAACACCAAAATTGAGCTAAAACAATTTTAATTACCTTTATCACACAAAATCTTGCATGTGTCTATCAATATTTTTATTTTGCTATTTTTTCTTTCTTTCAGAGTGGATTCACTCCACTGCATATTGCTGCTCATTATGGTAATGTCAATATGACGGATCTTCTTATTTCACGTGGTGCGAATATTAATTTTCAAGCTAAAGTAATTGAAATGTTGAGGTTTTTTTTCAATAAATTTATTATATGACCAATGATTATCTTCGAGGTTGTATCTGGTGGTAGATGACGGTGTAAAGTAGTTTTGACTTGGTTTCCCTACGCCTAAATCACAGTGCTTGCTGATATTCTCATGCATGACTTTAAACTAACACTCATTGCCTCATTTAATAAAGGATGATACAACATAGAGTGAACTGAAACAGGCCTCTTGAAATTCATTTCTTGCCATCATCATAGTATGATTCACATCACCAATCAGATATACACATGTGAGCTAATTATTATAATGAAAAAGTAAGTAATAGAAGAAGAACAAGAAATTTCAATGAACCGTTATATTTCAACCATTTGACAGTTATATTCTTAACTAATACGATGATTTCAATACAGTCGATTTATATACGAAGTTTTTTTCAATCATTTGTAAGTTATACTATTTGTAACGTGTGAACTTAATTTCTTTTTAGAAATTTTATTACCACTTCATTCAGACAAGTGTTTTCTCTGAGTGAAGTGAAACTCGCATACCTTTTGTGCTCACATATTTTGTTGCTGATTCTTGTTTGTTGAAATATGATACACATCTCTAATTTATTATTTTGAAATACATACTTAATGCTGACCGTAAATCATATCATTACCTGTTTATGTAGTGGATAATTAATGTATCTATTGAACAGATTCCTCCAATCCTAGCTGAAAATTCAAGAGTTTTGAGGAAGAATAAGTTTGTATTGTAATCATTGACCATAAAATAATGACTGAACATGATTGATATCATGTTGTATGCATGATACACCTTGACTGAAGTCAAAACTCATGGATGATTCGATGAGTAGCAGTATGAGTGTCTAGTTGAACAGGATAGATAGATTGTCGTATAATTCAACTTTTATGAATAACAGAAACTTATTGGAACTAATTACGCTAGAAAATGGATCAAGTGCTGTTTTCAAAATAATATGAAAAATTCTATGTGTTCACATTACCCTCTTTGAAGATAAGCTTAGGGGACTTTTTAATAGTATTCTCCCTGTTTCTCATATTACTTAGACTTCTTACGTTTGTTAATTATATGTATATATATATATATATATATATATATATATATATATATATATATATATGTAGAGAGAGAGAGAGAGAGACCGGTATCTGACACGCCATATTCTTTGACCTGAAGGAGGCATCCGACTCTGTCGATTGAGAGGTGTTAGCGCAGTGGCTGACTGCGAAAGGAGTTAAGAACAATATGTAATGTTGACCAAGCTTGTTTACTCAAACTCACTCACACTTGAAGTAACTAAAACTTATGAAGAGCTGTTGTTTGAAGTAACGACAAACACTGATGTCCACCAAGGATGTCTACAATTATTATTTCCCCTAGATTTTTCAAAAGTATTCTGATTGATTTAACATTAAGAGTATCCGGCTTTCCATGGATTGACATGTTTACTAGAGAGCATCTGGTTGACTTGGAGTAAGTACAAGACATAGTCTTGTTACATAAAGACGCTGGAAAACTGTAGGGTCTTCTGGATACCTTTGGCATAAATCGGAATATATTTCGCATGCGTTTTGCACCTGTCAAGTGTGAAAAGATGCTTCAGGACTGGTCTTCACCGACTCTTAGTTATAGGATAGGGAGTGAGGCTGTCAAAAGTGTTGATGACATCATTAACTTGGGAAGCTGCATCAACTTGAATGGATTAGTTATTGATGAAATAAAACTGCAAACTGCAAAACCTATGACATCGGTTGGATATCTGGCTACATATCAAAGAGCGAGTATACTGGGAAGTAATCTACTGTCTGTTGTACGGTTGTAAGACATGGTGGTTGAAAGTAGGAAACATGAAGAGGTTGTCAGGTAACAACCACAGGATTTCTGGCATGTGATGGGATGAGCATATGAAGAGTGTGAAGGTTAGGTTTTGAACAGTAAGTAAGCAAAGTAAACCAGTCGATGAGATTACAAATAACCACTGATAGAGGTGACTTTTATATGTGCTATGCACGCTACGGTACAGTCTACGTTGGCATGTGATGTTAGCATCAGTACGTTTGAGTTGGAAGAAAGATAAGGATGGATTGATCCAGAGACGACGTGGCACCAGTTAATGAAGTTTTTGACTGTCGGTCTCCATCATGTAATGTAGGGTGTCTAGCTGGATTCCTCGATATTATAGGGATGAATGGTTAGAGACACTTGACTCGAAATAGGTTACAGTGATACAGTTGTGTTCACTGTTTGTCATCTTCGAAGTCTTGAAAATCTACGCCATGCTTCGTTTATTCATTTTAACCCTTCGGAAAATTTTCTACCGTCATACCATTCTTTTCCTATCCGCTTTACATTGTGCTTTGACTTTTGGCAACTTGAAATGTTGCACTTCTATTCCAAGTAATAAGCTGATATTTATGCCTCTCTTTCTACGTATGAAGTGACCAATTATAATACGACTCTGATATAATTATGATACAGGACGCAGTAACACCTGGACTAATTTTGCTAACCACTGTCTACTGAGGCATGAAATGTCTGAAGGTAGAGACTGACCTGTGACTTCAAGGACGACTTTATCTGACAAAAATACATCGTATGTGCAGTTTTCACAGACATAAGAATGTCCCAAGTCAAAGGTAGAATAACTTATCCTGATTAGTTTCCTGAACTACAAATTGTCCGGTGAGATTTATCCTGACCTCATAGCAGCATAGATCGAAATTTGAAGCTTCGAAATTTCTATCCTATCTGCTGACTGAAAATGTTAGTTTCTATATTAACCATTCGCTGTCAATATATAGTTCTGAGTGATGTGTGAACCTCAAGATTTCACCCCTTACCAACATGATCTAATTAATTAGGTCAGTTTACGTTTGAGTCCGTCCGAAATGCATGAGGAATCCATCCAGTTAACAATGATATTCATGTTAAAAATATATTACTCACTTGTATAATATCAAGTTTCTTCTGAGTATTTTTCTGTCCCGAATTCCCACCATACAACTGTACTTATCGTTGTTTTCTTTTTTTTAAGTTTGGACTTTGAATATATTTGACAGTTACCCCCTTCTTACTTTTGTTGATTCTTCGCATTTTTGTTGCCTTTGCCTTCCTGATGAGTGGAAACATGCACGAAACTTAGTTTATGTAGGGCCTCCTTTCGACTGGCTCCCATTATCCGAGACCAAATTACAGCGCACCTCAGTATCGGGCCACTTTTCTTAGTGACCATATTGCGAAACTCATAGATAAACTTCAATTCAGTACACTAAGGATTATACAGCCACTCTCCTCACTTTATCTCGCGGAAATAACTGAATTATTTGTCACTGGAAAGGTGAGAAAGCACCACCTGATGTGTGTTTTTGTTGTTTAATAAAAAAGGAATACTGTAACATTTATTTTCCCTATTGTCTGGTTTTACGATCATAGTTGTTTGAATTACTAAATATTTTACCTTTTGTGTTACAGAATAACATTACACCCTTGCATGTAGCATCGAAATGGGGTAATCAAGGTGTAGCTGAACGTTTAATTACAGCCGGTGCAGAACTTGACTGTCGTACACGTGATGGTTTAACACCCTTACACTGTGCTGCTAGATCTGGACATGATACAGTTGTCCAACTATTATTAAGCGCGGGAGCTAATTTATCTGCTAAAACGAGGGTATGATAAAGCTTTTACCATTCAGTTTTGTTATTTTATTAACTTGTTAAGTGTTACCATTTATTTTTATTTCTAGAGATGTATGAGAACTTTCAATTTGACTTTCATACTGAAGTGATATATTGTAGGGAACCACTGGATAACTGGAGAGCACTAGGAAGCTAGATCACTTTTGTCTAGGACTCCGAAACCGTGCCTATTCGCAACCATAAGAAGGATTGAACTCATAGGCCCCCGATGTTTACAAAGAGTACGCCATTGTTTAGATTCTGGGTTAAAACTCAATGCTATACACTCTGAAACCTTCATAGATCCATGATTTGCTACAGTCGTTGTGTGCAGGTAATCAGTAGTAAACGTTACCTTCAAACCAATTATTTTTGTATGAATCAGGCAGTTAAACAAGAACTCAATGCTCACTAGCAACCCATGTATGGGTGAATTAACCGGACTCAGTGAGAAGTTGTGTTGTATGGCATTTTGCAAGTCGACAGAGATAAATGACATCCATCGATGATATTTGTCGGTGGCTAAACTATTGAATACTTAACCAAGTGATTATTTAGCACGTAGATTTCCTTTCAATTGCCTGAGTTATTGAATGCATACAGCTGAAGAGGTTCTCAATGAAAAGAAACTATTATTTGGTGTTTCTTGCTTTTTGTCCAGATTCTCTCCAGCTGGTAGTAATATATGGTGAAATCCACTAAAATCAATCAACTCACTAGCCACTGAATATGTATCACGAAAAGTTTATTTTTATTTAAATGATATGAAATCATAACCGGACGTTATCATTGAGTAGATAGTTAAGAAACAGAACCTTATTCGAGTGTGTCTTCGGTCGGAATTGATCATTATACTTACATTTCCTAAATTCTGTATTGTTTTTGTCCTTGTTACGCCTCTCTGATATTCATTCACACAATTTTTTTCATGGGAAAGTTTTCATCTGATAGATGTAAGAAGTAGGAAGAAAGGCTATTTTATGTATTATCCTAATTTTACACAAAATAAATACAAATGCGTTTGTTTCGAAACCAGATTATTTAAATGTAATAGTAATTATTGTTCTACTCTGAAAAGTCTCTTCTTATAAGACTATCTCATTCATATCATCATCACCTAGTACCATGAGTTATGTAAAGATGAGTGCTATTTATCAATTCTTTCACTCTGATCCACAAATACATCTTTAGTATCGAAATGATAGGAGTTTGTTCACCGTTTTGCAGTGTATATATGTTTAGATTGTAAGCATTTGAGAAGAATCTTCGAAATAATAACGACCTTGCATTATCCTACTACGTTCGTCGTTCTTGCGTAAATTTCTTTTTGGTTCGTAAACACTGGTGAATGACAGAATTCATCTTCGTTCACTCATATCAAACGATCAGTATGTTTCACGAATCTATTTTCGTATTCTTAAAAGACATAGATGGTAAATTAATCTTCGTAAAGAATGTAAGTTGGATCACTGGTAATCAATTGCCCAACTAGTAAAAAGCAATGGAATTTTGAATTCTTAATTGTTCCCTTTTGCGGGCTTATGTGGTGACACTAGCTCAGTAGCCTAGTCCATAATACTGACGTTCTAATGAGTGTTCTGTGAATCAATATTTCAAATGTATCTCCTTATTATACTAATGGTACGCAACGAACTCGAGTATTGAATTCTGCTACTATTTGCTCTAATCGGATTTAGTATTGTAAACTGATATATGCACGAGTCAGCTACCAGTGAGTTGCACGTGTAGTTGTATAGCTCCTTAGCGCTCAGTTCTAACCTAAGTCTGTCAACCGATTTTGAAGAGTTGAATGCACTCGTTACATGTCAAAGTTGAAAAACTTTACTGAGATCAAGAATTTTAAAAGTAGAGTAACTTTAAAGGCCGTCGTATTAACTGTTGAGATAACCAATTATGTTTCTCCATTTGTCCGAAAATACCTTCCTGGTCAAAATACCGAAACCCGACGGGTTATTTCAGAAGTTTCCAGGCTTGACTTCAAAGTCGCTCTAAAAATAATGATATCTCCTATTTTTTTTTGCTTTAAAAATGAATATGCGTTTACACTTTATCTGAAATACATTTTCATCTTTATGGATAATGAATAAATGAATGAAAGTATTGGTATAATATTATTCATTGATATTTTTCATCGATTTCAAACGTGTTTTCACTTGCACTATTTTAATCAAAGAGTTTTCTGTTTCACCTATCTTTCTATCTGCTAACAATTTAAATATAAGCAACTGGAATCAGTAAATAGTAAATTTAAGTGTTCTTGTAAAAAATTATGCTTGGTTTGTTCACAAGTGTAAATATATCCCTTTAACATTGATTAAAAACTTTCTCAAACTAGCTAACTACTTTTTGAATGGTTCAATTGAATCTGTACACCCCCAGAAGTTGATAATACGTTTTGTACAGGAAATTGTGCATAGGTGCAAGGTTATTTTGATCTGCCTCAAAGAAAATGAAACAAATGAAAAGAGGTGATCAATGTGAATAACTAATATGTATTAAAAGATATTTAGAAGTACTATTCATCATGGACTGACATCAGTTGGGGAACCATTGAAAATATGGGAGCACTGGACAGCTGTTTCGTCCTAGTATGGGACTCCTTGGCAGTACGCACCCACGATCCGGCTAGGGATCAAACTCTATGTCAGTAACGTACAACCCCGCAAAAAATTAAACCCAAGACCTTCAGGTCTAGCAGTGAGCACGTTACCAGACAGACAGGTAGAATCAATGTAAAACTTCGCATTAGATCAAGTTGCCACACTTCACAGAAGTACACAAAGTATGTGTGGATAGAATAGGAGTGATACCAATGTGGACGAAATTGTGTGAGAGAATAAGCAATTTGATGATAAAGCTTAGTGCGAATATTAAAGCCTTAGAAGATGTTAAGGAGTGAATACATCTTCGCCACCGTGACTGATTTTCAGCCATATTACCAAAAGTCGTCAACCACTGATTCCATCCGTCCCAGGGACCCCAATGAGGTATTCTATATATCCCCACATGACTCCGGCCAACAGTCAGGGACTTTATCGGCTGATGCCAGGTCTTGGTCTGGCCACCCTCAACCTTATTTTAACACAATCCAACTTCCGCTGTCATGGCGCTTCGAGGTAGGCATTGGTTCGACATACGCAGTAAATTTTGAAATCATCGCAGTTGACTAACGTTCACAAACTTGTCATTCGGCTTGCCTGTTTTGCTCAGTGCCCTTCGCCTGATCTCAACACTGCTCACACGGTGATTCCACCTCACATGAGAAATGCTACGAAGATACATATGGTCGAAAAAGTGTAACTGTTTCATGTCTCCTACTTTTAACAACCATGTCTCGGCCGTATAACAACGCAAAACGGACTGCAATGCCGTATAATCGTCTTTTGATAAGTAGTTGTATATCTCGTCGGTGGGCGCCACAGATGACACAAGTTAGCAAATGTCAAATGGGTCTTCTCTATCAATCATCCCACTCGGGCTGATGTGACTCACCAAGTAAGTGAATTGGTCGACGTTACGATTGAGCCACTGGAAGAAAACAGAATATCAATATCAGTCAGTAGTTAGAACGGGTAGAAACAGTTATAGCGTAGTTTTAAGTCATAAAAGCAAATTCAAGGAAAGCAAATAAATGGTAACAAATCGTCTCAATTATATATATAATTTAATAGAAGTTTTTTGAATAAAAACGACGTGGAAAGTTACCGAAGTATTGAGGAACTTAGAATTATAACGTTACTTAATTAAGTCATTCGGTAAATAAGTTAGCAAACAAAATATGCAAATTATTGTGAGTTAAGCTCAGTTATTTGAAGATAGTCTATATGAACAAATTTGATTTGACAAAAGTTGATGTAACTAAACAAAAGTGAAATAATCAATACCTAAATTCAGTAAAGGATGATGTAATCATAGGATAGTGAAGAACAAAGTAGACGGAGGTTGACCACAGCTTATTTTTGAACATATCAATCACTTTTTTAAATGGCTATAGCCTCAGAAAATTTCAGGAGAATTGAATTTGTCTTGTTGATTGTGTTAAAGGAGTTGAAGACACTTACTTGATGTCATATGTCAATCATATGCCAAGTGATTGTACTGTTTAGAGTGTTAAAAACTATTAAATCAAGTATGGCTAATTGATCATCAACTGTAGGTAAAATGGAGACAAAAGGAAAAATTCATATAAATCTCGGTGTTTTTCTTTTTCAGTGTTAAAGATTTCAACTATTGAGGTTTGAATCATTAGTTCACAATGTAATGTATTCATGCTGAAACTCAAAGTCTATGTATTCATTCCTATCAGGATATCTACGTACACAATGGTGAATCAGGTTGAACAACTGTTCATTTTTCCTTGGTTTTCATTACTCTTCCGAGCGGTAACTATAACTGTTATCCCATCATGAAATTTTTGTTTTTTTCCATTTTCTTTCTTTGAAGTTGTATTTTTTATATCCTAAATTATATACAATGATTGATACATACTCCAATGATAATTTTAGAAAGTTAATTTAATTGACCTTTGCTTTTTTTCTTTTAGAGTGGTTTAAATTCTTTACATATGGCAGCTCAAGGTGATCATGTGGATGCTGCTCGTTTACTTTTACAACACGGTGCACAAGTGGATGATCCAACTATTGATTATTTGACTGCATTACATGTGGCTGCACATTGTGGTAATGTACGTGTAGCGAAATTATTACTTGAACGTGGATGTGATGTAAATGCAAGAGCACTGGTAAGTGAATTGTTTTATCATGGCATGGAGGCTTTTTCTGAAATAATTTTTTTGGTAAAATAGTTCAACCGGCTATGATCACAGATTTGATAGAAAGACAGACAAAATCAACATAAAAAATTGTACAAAAATGCACCAGTCCAAGTTGCCACACTTCACAGTAACATACAAAGACCAGGTGGATAGGAAAGTTTGATACCAAAATAGATAAAGGTGGATATGAGGAGAAAAAATTTGAAAATGAAAGTTAATGAAGATATTCATGCTTTGGAAGATGTCAAAGAGTGGATATATCTGCATCATTGTGACCGAATTTGAGTCATTTCACCATGGGTCTTCAGTGATTGGTTCCTGTTATCTCGAGCACCCCATCCAGGCAGTCTACACCTCTCTACATGGTTCAGATCAGTGTTTATAAACTTTACGAACTGGTGCCACGTTTCAGTTTTCCCAGTGTGAGGTCCTTTCCAATTTTTCCCAGCATTCCGCCTCGGGGTAAGTGGTGGCTTGGCATACGCAACGCATGTCCAAGCCATCTCAGTCGGTGAAAGTTCACAACCTTCATCGGCTGCTTTACTTTCTTCGCCTAGCCTTGATATTGTTAACATAGTAATTCCACCAAACACTAGCAATGATACGAAGACACTGTGATCAAAATTCTATAGCTTCTTCATACCTTCCACTCTTAACAACTACGTCAAACAGCTGGTTAACAGGACAGTGCAAACTGCAGCGCAGTATGCTCGTCCTTTACTAAGTAGTGGGATATTTCACCAGTCAGTGACATAGGGGACGCACATGGGAACTGTACAAAAATAGTGCAGCTTACTGTGCTGGCTTTAATTGTGTCCATTAAATTAACACCATATTACTGAAAGTAGTTGTTGTGATAAGGAGTTGTGAGAACGAACGGAAATACTTGACGATTCGTAGTCGAGAATTAAGACGATACAAACCGAGTGATTCGCAAAGAGAAATCAAAAGACTGGGAACCAGATGAGTTTATAGTATCTCGAACTGAAACGTCTATGAGTAAAAACTGAACCTATTTAGAGTTCACAATGGCCTTGAAAGACAAGGAATCATTAGTACATTTAAAAAGGCAGGAGCCAATCAGGACAATAGCGGGTCATGCGAAAGATGACCCATGCGCGGGAAAAGAGCGCGAATAAACAGTTCAAATATATACATAACTGTAAGTGTGCAATATAAGGGATATCGGCATTCCTAACAGTAAAGTGCCGTAATTCTACCTTGGAAAAATTTTTACTGGATGGTAGCATCTGATAACCCTTTCACTATCTAACATACTGAAACTTCAAGATACTCAAGTTACTGTCAGTTTTTCAGCATATCGCTGATGCCGATTGCAAGATCTCATCTTGCGGTCATCGTACTTTATATAAAATATCCAAGTCCAATATGATACTTTTATTCAATACGCTAGAATATGCTCACCCCAAACATCCTCTTAAGATATAATTTTTCACTTTTGATATCAACAAAAGTGTAATATTCCTAGTGAATCACATTCTTTCTGGTGATTATATTGAAATCTGGTTTTGTCACACAAATCCCAGTTTCTGATAATATATGTATATTTTCTTTTCAGTCGAGTGGTTTTTAGAGATTTGATTCGTTTCAAGATAGTTTCCATAACCCATGGGATCATTGAGAATCAAGAAGCACTGGATAGCTTTTTGATACTAGTTTGAACGATTTCGTGAGGTGCACTCGTGATCTCTTGTGGGTTTGAGTTTAGAGTTGCCAAGACGAGCCTGATGTTGTCTAGCGAGTGGGTTTGAATCCAGTGATTCATATTCTCTGACTTATATCAATCAGCGGTACAATGTGACCACATTTACTGTTATTAGTGAACGTCTGTAGAAAAAAATAATTGAAATACACTCAACAACGTTGTTCATGTTCATGAAGTAGGCAATAACCCACACCTATTGTGAGACAGCTAATGATATTACCTGGCTGCGCAACCTCAACAAGTGAGGTGATGTTAGGACCCATGATCCACTGGTTGAAAGTCAACTACCTAAGCCGATGAATCACAGCATTCATGCTTACACTCAACTTGATTTACCCCACTATTTAGGACTTCCGCTGGAAATTCTAACAGTCAATTTCGAAGTCAGTCACTAATAAATCAGCCTTGAATTTCTGCCTAGATTAGTGATTTATGGTGAGGTGTATATAATACTACTACTTTGTTGGGTCATATTAGCGTATAACGGTGAAAGTCTTAAATTATCAGACTATCAGCTTAATAGATGAAAGATGATAGTTTGTTCTACTGTGTATATTGGGTCAAATGAAAAATGGATTATCTTGCTGTCATGGTATCAACCACTTGCGTTTCATATGATGCAGGAAAGCCTTAACTTTCATCGTCTGATAACTAGACCTGACGGGAAATAAATACATAGAAATCGTAAGATTAGTGAATCCACAAGCATTAGTTTTTATCAGAATGTTAAATCTATGTTTAAAAACATATTAACATTAGGTATTGAAGAGATGTATTTCTTTTCTGTTTGTTCTTTGACAGTATGCACTAATATAAGGTAGCATTAAAAATAATTCATTAAAGTACAGTCTTGTCAAGATAAGTTGTTTCTTTTCTAGCACATCAACAGATTCAAGCGAAAACGTTTCTCCGATAACTATATCGATTATTCTTGCAGTGTTTTGTGTACAAGCTGTAGAAAATGGCCTAAAACTCATTTGTCATTAGTTTTTACAAATGAAAATCACTTCTAAATAATCATACACATGAATTGGTGATAACGCTGTTAATTGTCATTTGTGTGCGATATTGGTTGTTTGGTTTTTCAAGCTTTCTGCTGATAAAATTTTATTCACTCACATTTTAGATTGTAAAAGTGTAGTAGACATATGTAAACCTTAAGTCATTCGGATATTATTCATCCTGAACTAATGTTCAATGCCTAAATTAAAATGTTTCAGGAGATGGAGAGACTACGGAAACATGGAAGCACTGGATAGCTGTTCCATCCCAGTATGGGACTCCTAAGTAGTGCGCACCCACGACCCCGAGGTATGTAGATGACTGCAAGTCAAACAGTCACAATGCTTTAATCATATCATTTTGAGGAACTTCATATGTCAATGTGAAGTACTAGTCATGAAGGAAAGTGTTACAAGAATCCATAGTTTCGTGAAAGATTGTCATTCGCTATATAAAATTTCACTGTAGTTTTATACAGAAACTAAATTATTCGTATTCAAAGTATAACTTTTTCGATATGGGACGTTTTTTTTCTGTAAGGAATATTTTTAAAAAAATAACTTTCATATCTCTTTATTTTGCATACACTAAGTAGGTTAACATTACACCATCACTGTACTCTTTGAACGATATGATAGCTTCAAGCTCAGTTGTATATTCAGTAGCTGATGAAAACAACTGAACAGTGAGTGACAGACTAGGATGAAACACCTACCCAGTATTCTCTGACATTTTAGTGTTCCCCTAGTTGATGCTAATCTTTAAGGACAAAAGAAACTACTTTGGAATTAGTTGATTCCTGATGCATTAGTTAATAGAATGACTACGTCAGTGTGAGATTTCTTGCTTCCCGCTACTAGAGCTGTGATCAATTGTTTTGTGGAGTTGACTTTCAAGCAATGGGTCGTGGGTTTGAACACCGCTGAACCTATCGAGGTTTGGGTCCCCAGGTATCATTAGCCGTCACATCATTGGTGTGGCCCATTTCCTGCTGCACGGATGTGCACAAGGTTGCTGGGTGAATATCTCCCTCTTTATCTCTCTCTTGTTCCCATCAGAAATGTAACCTAGTTAACACTGTGATGCCGCTTTTCTTTTTTAATTCTTGGCTGCATCTAATTTCAACAAACCGTATGTCTTATTGCTTATCTTAGTTGTTTGTAGAAGAAACTAATTTTTCAAAGCTTATTACAAAATGATAAAACACTCTTGTCGTTTGAAAACCGCACTATAATTTATATTTTCTGGCTAATTTAAATTTAAGTCTAGCGGAAGCTTAGCGTATGTGCATTGTCTCCAGTGACAATGTATACGCAATAATCATGTTTGGAATTTTTACTTTAGTTCTGCGCCAAATTAGTCTGTTCAGACCCAATAAATGAAGTGTTTGTTTTTTTATTGGTTTTTATAACTGGTTAAAAAGTGAGTACTTTTTTTAACGCCCAACCATGTCTTCTCCACTGTCTATTAGTTGTACTGTCGTTACTGGGTGGTGGTTAAAAGTGAAATGAAAACCCAGGTCGTGGAAGGATTCCAACCAGCAGTCTCCTTTTCTTTCAACCCACACACGCAAACACTTTCGTCTTCCATCCAAATCAACATAGGACCAGGCATTACTGCGTAACGGTCCGAGTTGCCACACCTTATATCAGTACATCAAGTAAAATGGCAGTGAGGTGCAAGTTGAAGGAAAGAAAATTCAGTCAAAAGAAGTACAAAGTAAGAAAAGAGAGAAAGGCAGAATAAGAAAATAGAAGAGATTCAGTATATCGTCGTTAAGATGAGGATAATGTGTGTATACATCTGCGCCACTGACATCGGTTCTGAGCCATGCCATCACCTAGAGTCTCCAACCACTAGTTCCTCTTGTCCCGCCGACCCCAACCGGTTAGCCTACATCTCCCACATGGCTCAAACCAACAGTCAAACACTTCATACAATGATGCTATGTTTTAGTCTGGCCACCTTGTGTTTTTTTCCTGCGTGGACCTACTTCGGCCAACATTTTGTGAGGAGGCAATCGGCGACTAGGTCTACGTAACACATGTCGAAGCCAAGCATCTCACTTGATGAAAGTTCACAACCATCTCAACTGACTCACCTCTTCTCCCTGAAACTCTACGCCTTAGTCTGACTTGTGCGTTACTCAGGTGGCGATACCACGGCTTATACTACGAAGACAATGGTGGTCAAACACATGAAGCCAGCCCTCTCATGTCTTCCACCTTCAATGGCCATG